CAACGGAGAAATACGTTCTGCACCCAGAAGTTAGTTTAAACACTGCGGGTAAGCAACTGGGAACTATTCTAAGCAAGTTAATAATTCGCTGCACCTTGTTATTTTATATGCTGTTTAATTCTCCTATTTATATTAGCTCTAATATTCCCCCCTTGCAACGGAAGATTATTACAACAAAGTACACAGACGCAGAAAAGTCTATGTATAATAGTCTTGCACTTATTTACAGATGTGGCCTGTTTACTTGATCCTATACTGACCTAAACTAATACATCTGGAACATGAAAAAACTTCGGAAACTGGTGCTCTTAATATTATGGTTGGGTTTTTATTATTTCGACCAATCCTTGCAGGCCTCCAGTATCCCAGTAGTATGCTTAAAATTGGAATCGGGCCGGGTTGCCAAGTTCCTGGCACGGGGAATTGAGGGAGGAACAGTGGTTAATACAAAGGATCTTCGGTATTTTTTCCAAAATGCAGCATTTATGACAATAGAAAGAAGGATTTGGACTCTTAAATTTCTGTTGCGCGGCAGCCCTAAGATGCGAGTGATGTTGCCCATCTTACGCGACCAGGTAATTATCTATTGGGAAAAGGCGATTATCTGGATATAATATCCAGCCGAGCAGGTCTATGTTGCAGCAACCCTGCGTGCAGCAAATATAGACGCCCAAGTTTTCCATGCAGGTTTTAAAGTTAACAAGAGAGCCCACTTGGTACAGCAATTTACTAGAAATCCTAAAGCTTGCATGGTACTAATCTGCAGTTACTCAGTAAATACTACAAGATTAAACCTACAGAATTTGTGTCGCAATGTACACCTTTTTAGCACAGGAATATTAAAATTGGTAGTTGATCAGGTAGTTAGTCGAGTATGCAGACTTGGTTAAAAGAAAATTATCTTGGTCTATAAATAGACTTAACAACTCTTTTAGTATAATGCTTATTAATCGCAATAAATTAAAGTCCATCCCAGGACTTGTTGCTGAGATAAGTCGTGAGGAGTTTCAAAGCAGTAATAATTTAGGAAATAATTTAATAGATATTAGAAAGTGGGTAATCCGGGACAATTCTCTTTATCACCTTGCGGACAGTAAGGTGCTAATCTTAAGTAATAATACTAACAAGAACGCTATTATTAAGGCACTCCTTAATAATGCTTTTGAATAAGCCCTGCACCTTAGTTATATATAAAAAAGCCTTTTCCGTACATCCCTAGCTAAAGCACAGTTTAGATGGTAATATAAAAGAAAGTAAATCACAATTTCACAAGCTCTGTGCAGGAACATTTTTCCAGGGTAGTTATTTATTAATAATTAGTAGCCGGGGTTATAAAGGGGTATCTGTTTTTATTGGCTAGATATTTATTAGTAGTAAATTAAATAACTTCCTTGGTCCTATATTCTATTCTAACTAGTATTCTGTTATTTCAGCCTTTATAATTATGGACTCCTGGCTTTACTTTAATATAATGGTTTTCTTTATCTAATTTAGATTCCCAGTTGGTACTCCTACTTCCACTATTTAATTAATTAAATATTTTGTATATCTAAAAATGGCACCAACAAACCTGCCACTAATAATGACTAGGGCACGTGCCATGATTACTCAAGGCAACCCCTGTCTAATAAATAGTGTGACTCAAAGTCAGCCTGTATTTTTAAATAGTAAAGTAAAAATTTATGTTTATATTATTTATACTAACAATTCTTAGTGGATAATAATAAAGGTTCCTAACAATCAGCTTCTACATTCCCAGATACTGGAGCAATAGAGGATAATAGGGATTTTAAATATATTAAACCACAAATTGTTCGCACTTCAAGTAATGTATATTCACCTGTATATATTATATTAGGAGCTTATTCTAAACATCTTAGGCTATTAAGCGGAAGTATTAGCAAGATTTGCTAATACTATTAAATAAGCGGCCTTACCGAATGTTATCTAATAACCACCCTCCAATGAACCCCAACTGTTAGCTGTTAAATGTTCAGCCAATACACAGCAGCCTATATAATATCCGACAAAGTTCTACAACATCTGTCGAAACCCCACCTGTAACAAGCAATTAGTCACCCTGGCGCTCCCGGATTTTGGAAAATAACCAAGGGTATAGACCGGTTCAGCCAACCTTATAACAAGATAAAAGATCTGTAAAGTATACACGTCCACAATATTCCTTTCGCAGGCCTTCTCTTCCTACACCTGGTTATAGTTCCCCACAGTCTCTCCTAGTATTTACTAAGCTAGAAAGTGAATCATCACATGAGGCATTTGCCAGGCTTAAAAGGCTAGCCCGGCAGCAATTTATCTTATCCTTAAATAACCAGTAAATAAAAGAGCTAGTACAGCGGACCTTTCCTTTTATATCCGCAGACCATCCAAAATTTCATCAAGCAATGTTGAAAGTCCGTGATCTATATAAAACCTGGAAGAATCGTACTTTAAGAGATGCTCGTGATATATTTAAAAATATAGCTATTAATAATCTGGCTTACCTATGTTAACACCAAAGCTTGAGGCTAATTGGGACTGTCTTAACTAATAATTTTAAGTAATATTAGCTATCACGGGTGTTTTCTTGGGCCTATAAGGCTATTTTATTTGCTAAATGCACACGAGAGGGCAAGTAGTGGCTCAGATATAAGTGTTATATAAAAAGAAATATAGGTAATTACTAATCTTTATATTATATAAATGCATGTGTGCAGCTTATTTCACGTGCTAGGTTATATACTTTGTATAGTCGACATAATAATTAAATCGCGAGTCTCTGTAAATATAATAAAGAGTTTTTACTAGGGAAGTTTAACAGTCTACACACCTGTTACCAGGAGCGAATTATAATTAAAGACTTCCCACTGCGAGTAGAACTAATTTTTTGAAGAAGACAGCGACGCTATATTATTAATATAGCGGAGGACAGTGATGGAGATATTAGTGATAGAAACTCTAATAAGGAGGTTAAGCATTTAGTCACAGGGTGTGCAACTGTATTTTATAGTCCTATAAAAGGTAACAATACTTAGTTATATGCAACAGATGATTTAGCACACTATTAATATATAAATATATGCCATGTAGCACTTACAAAATAATATACTGTATATAGTGATTATGTAAAGGGCTGGAGCCTGTTTAACCTCTCAGGCCAATGTTCCTGTTGTCCCTGTTGTCCCTACTGGCCCTTTCAGCCCATCGGTCCTCGATCCATGTTATATAATTCCTTACCTTGTTTACTGCTTATTTTCCTCTTTCTTTATTCCCTTCAACAATTCCTTTTTATATATTAACAGATTAAAGTAATATAAGTGCTCTATGCCAGATTGTTATTATATTATTAGTGTTTTTTGGTTAAAAATATATATAGTATATAGTAATCTTATACAAATCGATATACATATACATATATATATATATAGATAGATTATTATATATTAAGACATGTTATTATATAGAATTAAATTTGCTATTTATTTATCTAATTCGCCAACTTTATACACTCCTCTCTTATTAATGGGATTCCTATAAATTATAGTAGAATGCTTAATAAATAACTTGCTTAGAATATAAGTAGTGATTTATTTTTTATTTACTTTTTTATTAGGCATGTATGTTACTACCGCGTTGTTGTATACTATAAAAGGCAAGGAATATATGCCTTAGTTAATATCTTGGTGCCTTAGCCTAATGTTAGTGCATCCCTTTTCTAAATCTATTTTTTTTGTATCCTTACACACTGCACCTTCCATCTTATTAAGGAAAAAAGTATGGCACCACGAAAGCGCAGGCTTGATAATAATATATATTGGAAACCCTATATAACGCTAATATCTATATTATTAATAATAGACCAATCATACTCTCGAAGACTCATTCCTGGTATATATCTGCTAGAATATTTCTGTTTGCTATTTATATTGCCTGCTTAGAGCTAATAAATTGTCTTACTATCTAGTTCTAATACCAATCCAGACACATACCCCTGCACCTCAGCTGAAATAATCAACACCTATACTTCCCGTGTCACCTGTTAAAGGTATATATAGATTAAGAAAGGCTTTTCCATAGTACTTATAAGTAGTGTGACAGAATAATAGACTGAATTTTAGTTTACTCTTGTATTATGGGTTGAAAGCACAGGTATATCCAGAAATAACTATGTGCAACTGCGTGAAATTCTCTGCCTACTTAATAGTAAAGAGATACACACCCTTTTATATAAACTGGACACACTCAAAACACACCTTTATAACCAAATTCCGTTACTTCCTATTCACAAGCAGCATGTTACAGTTGCAAAGCATGTATAAAATACTGAATAATATAATTTTATATCGCCAGATTCAACGTCCCCGCAGTATTGGTTTGACCTTGACCAGATTTTTCTAGGTATATTAACATCTTAACTAGGCTCTGAAAAGATGCACTTTGGTATGGCTGAGTACTCTGATAAGCCCCAGGAGCTCTGGCATTCAAGGGCATGGTGTAAAGGGCTAGAGCCCGTTTGACCTCTCGGGCCAATGTCCCTACTGTCCCCGTTGTCCCTATTGTCCCTACTGTCCCCGTTGTCCCTATTGTCCCTATTGTCCCCGTTGTCCCTATTGTCCCTATTGTCCCTATTGTCCCTACTGTCCCTACTGTCCCTACTGTCCCTACTGTCCCTACTGTCCCTACTGTCCCTACTGTCCCTACTGACCCTTTTGGCCCATTGGCCCTCGATCGATGTCACGTGACTCCCCACCTTGTTTGAAGTGTGCGTAATGCACTTCCCCAACCGTGCGATCACATGATAGAAATGCCAAGACTTTAATCCTCCAATTAAAAATTCCCGCAATTTAACAATTTATTTGAAATACATCGTTGCTGGATGTTTACATCTCCCCAAGTCCGTGGCATGCTTCGCATATTACGACGGCGCTTAACTTCTTCCACCAAGATACGATTCATTTGGTTAGAAGCTATAAATCTCTCCACAAACTTTTCATTTCCCTTTGCTACTTGATCCTCAAAAGATTCATCGCATTTTGCATCACTTCTCTGAATTCTGCGACGAGGATTTCCATGGGCACAGCCTCCTGGTCATCATCTCCATCCTCATCCTGCTCTGACTCGCTTTCTGAAGAGTATAGTAGGGATGATAGGGTGCTGTCTTGCATTTCAACGATTCCATGCAGTTTTCGAGTGCGGAGTCCCTCCCTCGGCGCATACTCAGGTCGCAAAATCAATTGTTCATCTTTCCAGAAAGGATAGACTGTCTGGCGACTAACAGTTTCAAAACAGTCTGGACTGGGTAACTCAAAGCAATAGACGATGTGTTTGCATATAAGGAAGCGACTGTGGAGGAAGGATTTGCAAGCACAGACCCAGTTAACTGGATTCGTGTGGTATTCTTTTAATTTGTCCGGATCCACGGTTTTACAGGCTTCCTTACGCCACTGCTTCTTGAAGGCATCTCTCCATCGAGCTTTGAATATGCGAAACTGCCCACTGGAAATAGCTTTCATTCGATGGACGGCATCCGGGAGAACTCGCGACGTCAAGACCCACACCACCAGGTCAACCCGCGGCCGATTGAATCGATGAAGATAGTCGTGCTTTAGCGTTCGCCAGTGTGACTCAACAATCATTGTTGTTTTCACCACTGGGATATCAGTAGGATCGGCGGCCCGTGCCCACAGCTTCCACTGTTCGGGACAGTACCAGTTGATATACAGATAAGCCCAAAGACGGTAATATCCCCGTTCCTTACACCACGTATGCATCTCGGCCGCACATTCGCGATGCAAAGTCGTCGAGGACTTATATGTGCCATTAGAATCAGGAATGAGGGGATGAAGGTTAAAATGTCGACAGAAAATTTCTAGAACTGTGTCCCGGTCCTCCTTGGTTGCGGGTTCCAGTCTACCAATTTCGTCGATTTTATCCCCTTCGATGGGCAGGCGCAATCACCAAATCGATGGCCCAGCGGTCGGCGGATTGGCAACGAGCCCCAGCAGATCTCCAAATCTGAGACCAGTTTCTGGGCTTCCTCGGGCCGGTAGTGATTTTGCGTGTTAGTGCTTTTAGACGAATTGAGCTTTGTGCTTACAGCCCGTTTCACATGCCAGTAGCAAAGTTGAACTTTTACCCCAGACCACACTGCCGTGACTGCGGCAATTTCTGATGAGTCCTTGTCAATCGCTACGCATCTTGGATTGAACCCGAAATTTTTCAGTCGTTCAAGAAATTGCTGAAGAATGTATGTCGTCGCTCCAGGGTCCGCACGGATGGGTTTCTTCTGTGCTGGGTTGGCCTGAGGAGGAGGCTTTAGCAGCTCGACCAGGCAATATGCAAGCGGAACTCCAGTACCTTCAACTTCGGCCAATACCGCAAATAGGTCCATACCACCACTGTTGGTTCCAAACGTGGAGTCCATCACTAATTGAGGGGCGGATCCCCGCAACTTTTCAATGGTTTCAGAGGCGAAGAACCCTAATGCCCTCAGGTTTCCCGCCGTGAAGACTGCGTGGTGATCACGATAGCGACTGTCTTCAGAAAGAAGCATTGTGGCCGAGACGAAGGGATCTAAGTCTCGCTGCCAGATCTCTGCATTCGCTTTCTGCCACAGATAGTACACTTGATGCCTCGTCACCGGTTTTCCTTCTGGAATCTGTCGAATCTCACGGTATATTTCGGACGGAGTTTTGGTGGATACAAGCGAATTGATCACTTCTTGCACAACTGGTGACAGTTCGATGTCTTCATAGGGTATGTGCCATTGATGACAGATCGATAGAGATAGCGTTCGGCTCTGTAAACACGGCCGTATATTGAGCTTGCTTTGGCAAGGAAACCGCGCCATTCGTCGGCCATCCCGCTGCTTCTCTTCCTCCACCGTAGACTGATAGTTTTAACGTGCATCAGGTCTTGGGAGCAGTGGTATTTGTACGTGAAACTTTGGAAATTGGTTCCCGTGTGGCGGAAACGAAACCCACCCGCCTTCCAAATCACTACACCCAGGTCGTGCATCGCCGCGTTCACTTCGGATCGCAGAAGCGTGTTACGGTCGATGTCATCTCCATCGCCATTTGCAACTTCAAGCGCACGCAGGGAGCCGAAATTAACAGGTAGAGTATCCAAATCAAAAATATAGCTCCCTTCGAGTATTTGGTCTTGATTCTATCAATTCAGATCAGGTTAGAAGAGCCTGTTTGTCCACCAGTCTAAGCTTTGCATTTCTACAATCTCAAAGATACTTGCCAATTTATTCCAATTTCGGAGAAGCCGGGTGAAACTGTCCCAGTCATCGAGCTCCAACGCGCGTTTTCGACCATGGCGCTTGCAAGTTCTTTGTGGCTTCCCGTCCTTGTTAAACTTGAATTCATCAACGCCGTAGAATTTCACGCATTTGCTGCAGAAGATTTTATCAGTCTCTTCAGGTAGATCAGGAAGAGGATCCATTGCTTGGGAGGGAAGTATGTGGGACAGGCAGGATAGGGATCAAGCAACGCGAGCATAAGATAAACAGAAACCGAAAAAGGAAAGGTTGCTTTTATGACTAAGAAAGTATATATCACCTGATCGCAAATTTGGGGAAGTGCATTACGCCCCCATCCTTGTTTGTTTACCGCTTGTTTCCTCTTCCTTTCTTCCTTTCTTCCTTTCTTCCCTTCTTCAACGATTCCTTCTTGTACATAACCTATCTTGTCGTGTTCTATGGGTTCAGCCCTTGACATTAGGAATCGTTCGTCACTTATCTTATACTGAAACGGAATGGAATAGAACAGAACGGAAAACAACTAATACCGAACAGAATGGAAGGAGAATATAACCCACCAAGTGGGAGTACAGAACTACCAACATGGGCCGAACCCCTATTTCGTCAAATGATAGAACAACAGCAGATAGCTCTTGGTCTGCAACGGGATCACTTCCAGGGGCAAATCCAGACATTACGCGCGGAGCTCCAAGCAGCACTCCAAATGACTCCAACCCCGGCAACTTCGAACACCACACCGAGCGCAGCACCCGTACCTACCCCCCTACCTCCTATACAACAGCGCCCTCGCCCGAAGCTAGCCGACCCCGAACGGTTCGACGGGACAGACCTTACGCTTTTCCCACAGTTTTAAGCCAACTGAAAGCGAAGTTACTGATAGACGAGGCCTCTCTTGGAGGAGAGTTGGAACAAATATGGTACGGCTATAGCCGCCTGGGAGGCAAGGCAGCAGCAAGGATCCATGCATGGATCGCAGCCAATGAGTCCTCTCCAAGCTTCACGCTCCAAGGATTTTACAGCCAGCTGGAAAGCGCCTTTAGTGACCCAACCCGTCAAGAGAAGGCCCTAGTACGCCTAAATACTCTACGCCAAGGAAACCGCTCTGTACTAGAGTTGGTCGCAGAACTCAATGGGTTACTCCTCGAAGCGGGTGGCAGCGGTTGGGAAGATAGAGTTAAAAAGGGGTATTTGAAGAGCGCGTTAAACCGAACGATTGAGAACCGATTAATAAATATCGAGGAAAAAGAGACTTATGATGGATTTTGCCAACAAGTGCAGGAGATCTCTCATCGCCTTGAGAATTTTAAGCGGAAAGAGAAGGGACCATGGGCACCACCATATTACAAAAACTCCGGTGAAGCTGTTATCCCTTCTAGTGATACTATGGACTGGGAACCAGCAGTGAAAACTGCCAGCTCCCGACGTGCCAAATGGGTAACTCAGGAGGAGATTAACCGACGATGGAGTGAAAGGCTGTGCGTACGTTGCGGAGCCCCAGGCCATATAGTTAAAGACTGTCCCTTCCAACCTCCCAGGAGGCCCCAACCACCTCCGCCTAGGATCCCCATAGTCGCTAATATCACCGGTGCGGTGCTGGAGGACGAGGACAACCTGGAAGACAAAGACAAAGCGGGAAAAGTGTAGCTCCTGTTTTAAGTCGCGAACAGGAGCGGATAGAGGCGAAAGAAGAATGGGAAAACTTTAAAGGAAAATATGGAAGGTCCACCCTTTATAATTACAGCCCTGGTTAACAAGGAATACAATGCAAATGCTTTAGTTGATACAGGCTGTGACCCTTATGGGATGATCTCTTCCAAGTTTGCCCAAAAAGCTGTCTCCAGCGCATTACCATCCCGCCACGGTTTATTAAAGGAATTGGGGGTGCTAGAGAGTATGTCACCGAGGTAGCCTACATGTCATTAGATATTGGAGGTCACTACCAACGAAGGATATTCCTCTACGTGGCCCCGACTGATATAGGCCACGATATTATACTAGGACTCCCATGGCTAATCTCTCAAAGAGCCAATATATCCACTGATAGATTAAAGTTAATCTTCCAAGACACTGGAACTGAAGTCAGCAGCGAATACCACCAGACCGGAATCCCTAAAATTGCTCCCATTAACGCCAACTCCTTTAATATGTGGGCTAGGAAAAGAAGAAAGAACAAGGAGATACGAGTTTTGCCGCAAGCCTAAAAGATATTGAGAAAGCACTTACAGTAAAGAAATACACGGACCCTAAAGACAAACTACCAGCTCATTACCACCAATTGCTCCCGGTATTCAGCCGCGAAGAAGCCGACAAACTCCCACCGCTCCGTGGAGCTGGAGTCGACCATAAAATTGAGCTGGAAAAAGACGAAAACGGAAATACTCGTGAACCCCCACATGGACCGCTGTACAACATGTCTCGCGATGAATTACTAGTCCTCAGGAAGACCCTTTTAGAATTATTGGACAAACAGTTTATACGAGTCAGCAATTCGCCCGCTGCAGCCCCGGTTCTCTTAGTAAAGAAACCAGGAGGAGGACTACGTTTTTGTTGTGATTATCGAGGCTTAAATGCAATCACAAAAAGGACCGATATCCACTTCCTTTAATTAATGAGACACTGGAAAGGATTGGGAAGGCATGCTGGTTTACCAAGCTTGATGTTATTGCTGCATTTCATAAAATCCGGATCTCGCCAGGAGACGAATGGATGACAGCCTTCCGGACTAGATTTGGCCTTTACGAATGGCTAGTAACACCTTTCGGCTTGGCGAACGCTCCAAGCACATTTCAGCGGTATATTAATTGGATCCTGCGTGACTTTCTAGACGAGTTCGCTTCGGCATACTTAGACGATATATTAATTTTCTCATCAGGGTCACTTGCTGAGCACCGAAGCCATGTTAACAAGGTATTGGAACGACTACAAAGGGCCGGATTACAATTGGATATTGACAAGTGCGAGTTTGAAGTCAAAAGCACCAAGTATTTGGGATTTATTATTGAAGCGGGTAAAGGCGTACGCATGGACCCTGCAAAGGTTAAAGCAATACTGGAATGGGCTGTCCCCACGACTGTTAAGGGTGTACGATCATTTTTAGGATTCGCAAACTTTTATCGCCGCTTTATAAGGAATTATGCGGATATCGCTGCGCCGTTAAATCAGTTAACGCAGAAAGGACACGAGTTCAAATGGACCGAATCATGCGAGAAGGCCTTCCAGCAACTGAAGACAATGTTTACCACTGCCCCGATTCTTATACAGTTTAGCCCCGAGAGGGAGACTGTTGTTGAAGCAGATTCCTCAATGTGGGCTACAGGGGAACATTATCACAGTACGACGATAACGGACTATTAAGGCCTTGCGCCTATTTCTCTAAGAAAAACAGTCCGGCGGAATGCAATTATGAGATTCATGACAAGGAATTACTGGCTATTATCAACGCTTTAAGGGAATGGGAAGCAGAATTATGCAGTATCGAAGGTTTTCGTATACTAACAGACCATAAAACCTAAAATACTTCACAACACTACGACGGTTAAATGAACGACAAATGCGATGGGCTGCGTTGTTAAGCAGGTATAACTTTACACTGGACTACCGGCCGGGGAACTTGCAGGACGCCCTGATGCACTTTCCCGCAGAGAACAAGACCTCCCACAAGATGATTCAGACGAGCGGCTACAGAACCGTTATCGGTGTCTCTTAGACCCATCTAGATTTCAGAGGAAACCAAGTCTTACCCCTGCAACTGCCAGGATTAGTACAATAACTACTAAATCCACCGAACAGTTAATACCTGGAGAAGACCTTTTTAACCTTCCGATAGGTGAACACTGGTCAAGCGCAGAACAACAGGATGTTAAATATGGCGCTATTCGAGCTGCTGTATATGAGGGTGCGGTCCGTTTTCCAAAGGAACTCGGCCTAAAACCGGTATCTCTGACTGCAGTATATCACCCGAGGGCTATTTGCTATACCGAGACCGCCGCTGGGTCCCTGACATCGAATCCCTTCGGACCAGGATTATGCAGGAAACACACGATTCGGTGATCACCGGACACCCAGGCCGCAATACAATGTACGCGATCCTTGCTAGGCAGTTTTACTGGCCTAATATTGCCGCCGATGTCCGCCGCTTTGTGGAAAATTGCGACAAATGCAATGCCAATAAAATATGGAGAGATCGCCGCCATGGAGTACTAAAACCCTTGCCGATACCCGACAGAAAATGGAGAGAAATAGCTATTGATTTTATTGAGAAGCTGCCTGAGTCTAATGGCTGCCAGAATCTTATGGTTATTGTTGATCGCCTAGGGAAAGGTGTTATATTAATACCCTGCGAGCAGATAGATACGCCCACTGTTACTACTAAACTTATCCAACACTTTATTGGATACCATGGTATTCCAAGCGCTATTACGTCTGACCGCGGTGCCCAATTTGTCAGCGATATGTGGGAAAACTTTTGCAAACAACTAGGAATTCGACGACGTCTATCTACTGCTTACCACCCGGAGACCGATGGACAGACTGAACGCATGAATGCGACAATTGAAGCCTATCTCAGGTCCTTTTGTGACCGTACACAAACTAATTGGGCCTCCCTGTCCCCATAGCTCAACTCGCAGTTAACGGGAGAAACGCTACAGCCACTGGAATTAGCCCTTTCTTCTTAGACCATGGGTACGACATGGAGACAATTCAGCTGGATAATACACAGGATACAAATCTAGTGCCCACAGAAACCCAACGGACCAAAGCTCAACAAGGACATGATATTGTGACTAAATTAGCTCACGCACTGGATATTGCTAAGGCCGAGCTCGCCGCTGCGCAGCAAAAATATGAAGCTTATACTAATCGCCACCGTACATCCGCACCGGCTTACCGTGTGGGTGATAAAGTATGGCTTGACCTACGTAATATACGCACGGAACGACCAAGCAAGAAACTAGATATCCGAAATGCCAAGTATACAATTATTGAGAAAGTAGGCTCACACGCCTATCGGCTTAACACTCCTCCCGGAATTCATAATGTTTTCCATGTCATGTTACTACGACCTGCCAATTCTAACCCTTTCCCGAGCCAGCAAAATGACGACTACCAGCCCCCCCCCAGCTAGTCGACGGTGAAGAAGAATATCTGGTACAGGAAATCCTAGACGAACGGTTTGCACGTG